GGATATCACCAAAATTTTCATTATTACTATGAAATACGAAGATACAGAAGAAGTTCTCTTAACAGACATTCCCATAAGTAGACACTATTTGAACTCTTATACAAAGTCATTCCCACTTAAGAGAACCATTCTGTGTAACCAGCTCCAGTCAGACACCTCTTTTGCTTACAGGTGGAGTCATGCAGTAATTATAATAATTAATTATAGTAATTATAGTAATTATGCACCTTCACAGTTATAGTAATTATAGTAATTATAGTATATAACTCTTATATAATTATTATTATATAATTATTATAGTATATAATAATTATAGTAATTATAGTAATTATAACCAGCTCCAGTTACAGACACCTCTTTTGCTTACAGGTGGAGTCATGCAGTAATTATAATAATTAATTATAGTAATTATAGTAATTATACACCTCCACAATTATAGTAATTATACACCTTCACAGGTGGAGTCATATTATAATAGTTTTTACTGTGCTAACATTTAATGTAAGATAAATTACACATCATTTCCATACTGTAAATGCATACTGTAACACCTTTCTAGGCCTCCTCGCAAGGGGGAGGGGGGATTCCATGATTTAAGGTACAGTATGTGGGGAAGCACTAACCCAAAATGTATCCCCCCCTCCCCCTTGCGAGGAGGCCTAGAAAGGTGTTACAGTATGCATTTACAGTATGGAAATGATGTGTAATTTATCTTACATTAAATGTTAGCACAGTAAAAACTCTTGTAATATGACTCCACCTGTAAGCAAAAGAGGTGTCTGTAACTGGAGCTGGTTACACAGAATGGTTCTCTTAAGTGGGAATAACTTTGTAACAGAGTTCAAACAGTGTCTAGTTATGTGAAAGATGGCATCTTTTGGCTTGAAAAAGGATTAGGATTTAGGAGACCATGCTGTAAACACCAGGTGTTTGATTACATCCCAAATTCCCAAGCTGCACTCCCAGACACATTAATTTTGTTGGGACACTTACTGTCTCCCCTGCCCTCAATGTTGGTCTGCAAGATGGCAAAGGTTTGGTAATTAACAACAATGGATGGGGGAGGGGGTTAAAGAAAGTCGAAATAAATAACAAATTAGCCTCTTTTTCATTTTAAATACCTGTGTCATAACAGTTGCAAATGCAACGATATAGGGATAATTGCTCAACTTATCAGGTCTACAAAATAATTAACTACAAAATAACTACCTCCCAGCCTCGTCCTAAGATCGCCTAACCTAACCTCGCCTAACCTAACCCGTGACTTTTCACAAGAGTTGCCAAAATGGCTTCCATAAACCACTTACTTTTCCCCGTCGAAGAACATCCGCAGTAATAACAGCTTCCATTTCTTCTGCACCTTCCGCCAAAATAACCAGTGCGCTACCCTTCGAATTCGCCATGTTGGATGAACACAAATATCTGGAACCCAGTCCTCTAATTCTTTACAGATAGTATATAACTTGGAAGTATAAAACTTTCAAATAAAGGCCTCACAAACCAGACATTGACAGAACAAAGCTCTTGTCTCGACTTCTAGTTTGTGAACATTAATTTTCTGAGGATTTTAAAATGCGTGTCCGTGCCTGATGTCTGGAAATTATTCGAGAAGTCGAACCTTGCCACGCACGCGTTAATCAAAGCTAACATTAGAATAGTAACGTGAGGAATTGTGGGACACAGCATGGTGGCAAAGTTCCGGGATTGTTTTGTCTCTATGAGAACGTAAATAATTCCTGAGCAACCAAAATATTTAAGAGCGATTGTTTGAGAAATCTATTTTTTCAAGAAATGAAAAGTCTATAAAGGCGATACTTACGCTTTCTGTGGTCAGATATAGATTTGTCGACATTTTGATCAAAGAAGCAATCTGTGGATTTAATCTTCAGAGCCAGTCGACGACAGATAAAGCTACGTCAGGTGAAAATGTGGTATTACTTTGTGGCTCATTGTGCTTACCATTTTACAAGGTGGTTTCCTAAAGATACGCGAGGAAAAGTGTAAGTACTTAGCAATTGTGTAATGATTTTTTAAAATCTAATAATACATGTAATTATAATGAATACACTTTGATAGTCTTAAGAAGCTAGTTATATCCAAAGTTAAGTCGTGTCCGACACGAAGATCTTGCACTCCGCTGGATGATTAGACAGCATTTAGAATAATGATGAATGTTGTTCTTTAACGTTTAGTATATCCAAGCTTTTGAGGGATTTACAGAACCTCAAACTTTACGAAAAATAAGTCTGTATTAATGAGGTGTATAAATTATAATGACTAGCCCGATGACCAGTAAATGCATGCTGCTAAATTAACTTCTTACATTTATACACTCAGCAAGGTATTCACTACTAATTGGTTCGTGGGAAAGGAATAAATAGTGCCTGATGTTTCACTAATCTGATGAGAAATCCTCATCAGAGTCAAGTGAATAGTTGTTGTTAGTTGAATGTAAAACTATGTCTGGTTTGTTTAAACCGATGGGTCAGTTTTACATTCAACTAACAACAACTAAGCCACGGTGTTATTGGTTTCAAGACTTAAGTGGCATAAGTCAGTCATGATTGGTCAGTAGATGTTTCAATCTTTTAGTAAAGTTAGGATGTTCTGTTTGGTTTGTTCGGGATGTTTATGTCATGAATAAGTCGTTTGTATGGTGCCAAAGTAGTTGATACCTGTTAAGGGGAGTCTGTTCTTATTTGGTAAACCTGCTTTCTAGAGTCAGTGGTTGAAAATAGTTAGTGCTGTAGGTTAGGTCATTTTACACAGAGTCCCAGGTAAAATGTGGTTCAATGATGTTCAGCAGTGACATTGTCTTTTCTTATCACTTACCTGTGTTCAGTGATTCTTGTTATAAGGTTTCTGCCAGTCTCTCCAACTGCTCCCTGTCTGTTCTATGGTTCATCCTTGGCTTTGATGTTTGTGTGTAACTGATGTAGTAATTGGTTTCTGGGCAATGCAGATATTGAAGGGTCATAGGATGAGTGAGATGTTTCAAAAAGGGATGTCTGAAAACATCTCATGTATCTTTGTCTCTGATGATGATGATGACTTTGCTCATGATCAGGTTGTCAAAACATCATTCACTACTACTGACTATATTCCCTCTCAGGATCTACATTCACCCACT